AGTGTCATCATGGGAAATCCAGGTTTTAGATACCTCAATCTCAACATGTCCCAACCTGAATTCCTCCCTTTTTCTTTACTCCACTCCCTGACCTGCTCTTTCTTTAGGGCTCCCAATCCTGTAAATGACATTGCCATCTGCTATGGGCTGAGTTGTATCCACTCCCGAATCATATTTTGAAACTCTAACCCTAGTATTTGGTAGAAAGGCTTTTGGGAGGTAATTAGGATTATATGAGGTCATGAGGATGGGATCCTCATGGGATTAAGGCCCTTATAAGAGACCAGAAAGCTTTCTCTCTCTCCTGTCCTCCTATTTTTCTCTGCCCACCATGCAAGGACACTGAGAAAGCAATCATCTATAAGCCAGGGAGAGTTCTCACCAGAACATGACCATGCTGGCACCTTGATCTTGAGTATCCAGCCTGTATAACTGTGAGAAGGTAAACATCTGTTGTTTAAGCCACCCAATGTATGATATTTTATTATGGCAACCATAGCAGATAAGACATTATCTATTCAGTTGCCCAAATTAGAAAATTGAAAATCATCCTTCTACTTCACTTCCAAATTGAATTCAACACCAATTCTTGTTAATTTCACCTATAAATATCTCCAAATAAGTTTAGTTCTTTCATTTGCCATGGCTATTACATCATTCATTTATTCAATATTTATTTGATGCTTACTATCCGCTTTTGCATCAGTCTGTAGAAGAAAATAAAGGGTCCCTCATTTTACAGCTGCTCTGATCTGTCATTTCTAACAATATTAAGGTCCCAGAAACCCTGGGCATAATCCTAATTTTTTGGCAAATTTTCCTTTCCTGGGAAATGGGTGCAACAGAGGAAATGATGCTTATTGTTATTCTTTTGTGATGTCAGGGAGTGAAGAGCTATGGGAAGAGGCAACCAATGTTGGCAGCCGTGTTTCTTTTGTAATGGAAGTCAAACTAAGGATCCAATCAGAACTGGGACTAGTGAGTACAAGCATGATTATGGGTGGGAGGCAGGAAGAAGAATGGAGTCTGATAATAGATACAGCAGGAAGGGTGGATCACCTTTGGCAAAAGGAAAGGCAAAACACTGAGATGTGGGGGAAATGCAGTCAAGTTTTACAGGAAAACTGAAGTTTTTTCCCCATGTTTATAATATGCAGATTTAAAGTACCATCACAGAAAATTTTAGGATGTAAATTCCTTAGCCTGATTGATGAGTTACCACCTCTTAAGTATATTTAGCTGGCAAGGACAGGATATGGTCATCCACAAAAACAACTTTTTCTTCTTGTGTTTATGATCTAAGTTTCTAAACATGAAAAATAATAATAGCTACAATATCTGACATTTGTTGAATGTTTACTATGTCAACAACTACTGTATTTTACAGATTTGTTTTGTTTAATACTCACCACGAAGATGATCCCATGATATAGGTTCTGTTATTACTCTTGTTTTACAGATGAGTAAATTGAGGCTCAGAGAAGCTAATTTGCTCAAGTACACTCAGCCAGACAAGAGCTGATGTGTATATACTCTTCTCATGTAGCAAGTCCAGGGCTGTCTACTCCAGAACCCAAATTCTTAAACACTGTTTTCTCCCATCTAATGGTTTTGTTGGATTTTAAAAATTAATCAGTTTTTACGATAGTCTTTATGATAGTTCTAAGAGTTTGAAAATCGTTTGATAATTCAGAGAAAGTATAGTCTTTTTTATCTCTTTCACATAGATAAAACATTTTTTTTCTTCCTGTTAGGGTTAGGGTATGTGCCTGGCATCCTGCAGTTCAGAGACCTCTCCTGAGAATAAAACCTCAGACTTCTGCTGGGGTGAGAATAAACATGACAACCATCTATGAGCTGAGGCAAGGAAGGGATTTGGGGCTCTAAAAACTCTTTAAATAGATGTTCAATAGATTTTTCTGTTTTTATCTCTACCTTCTCACCCATTTTCAGAAACACTACCAATTTTTAAATGTTTGGGGGTCATTTCCAGGATAACTCCGCTGTTTCTCAGTTTTCTTATTGTGTGTTCAGGAGTCTGCTTTCTCAGATCAAGGGTTAGGATTAGAGTTAAGGTCAGGGTTTGTGCCTGGAATTTTGCAGTTCAAGAACTCACCAGAGAATCAAACCCCAGTCTTCTCTTGGGGTAGGTTTAGTGTTATGGTTAGGGTATGTGCCTTGTGTTCTGCGGTTCACAGACCTCTCCAGAGGGTTAGGATTTGTGGTTAGGGGTTAGGGTTAGGGTTAGTGTTGGGTCAGCATTAGTGTTAGGGTTAGGGTTAAAGTCAGGGTTTAGTGCTTAGGGTTTAGAATATGTGCATGTTATTTTGCAGTTCAGAGTCCTCTCCTGAGAATAAAACCACAGACTTCTGCTGGTAAGAGACTAAACATGACAACCATCTATGGAGCTGTGGCAAGGCAGGGATTTGAGACTCTAAATACTCTTTAAATAGATATTCAATTGATTTTTCTGTTTTTATCCTACCTTCCCACCCATTTTCAGAAATACTACCAATTCTTAATTGTTTGGAGTCATCTCCAGGATAACTAGGCTCCTTCTTGGTTTTTCCTATCATGTGTTCTGGAGTCCTCTTTCTAGGGTTAGGGTAGGGTTGCGGTATGTGCCTGGTATACTGCTGCTCAGAGACCTCTCCAGAGAGTTTTTAAGGGTTTTTAAGCCACAGCCAGAGGTAGCTGGGGAAATGACAGATTCCTTTAATCTTTAGAAAGAAACCACATGAGCTCTAAATGAGATATTGTTGATAAAGAGTGCTTTTTAAACTTATTAATATTTTTCATGCCTCTAAATCATTATGCCCCATCTCCATATCTTTTATGAAACTTCTAGAGATCTGTGGAACACATCTTACAGCAAAGCAAAACAAAAACCCGACCAGATGATATCAAGTTTCTTTCAGAAAATCTATAATTTGTAGCAATGTAATTACATAAACTTACATCTAAAGGATTCCATGTGATGAAATTATGGAAAATTTACTAAAAAGTTTGCCGAATTGAAAACAATTGAATAAGATTACACATAGCTATTTTAAATAATTAGAATTCTAACCCTGCCATTCACTAGCTATGTGACCTTGGACAAAGTCACTTAGATACTCTTTGCTTTACTTTCTTTACCCATAAGGTAGGGTTAATAATAAACTACTTAACACAGTGCCTGCCATATAGTAAGTACTTAAAAATGATTAGTTATTTTAACTCGAAAGTTATTACTTAATTCAACCTTTGTTCATCCAATGTGTGATTCACTAACTTCTCCTGTCCAGATTACTACCCAAATATGAGGAAGTCTGTGAAGATGAACACATCAATGCTAACAACTAGTTAGAGGGGTTCGATTGGATTGAATGAATAGTTTAGACTAAGGGAACATTTTAGTTACCCTATGAAGAGACATTACCTCTGGTTTGAAACTGGTAGATGTGAAAAGCCAGTTAGGAAATTAAGGCTTATTTATATCATGTCTGAGCAGTCACATGTTTTGCTAAAATCCAGAGATAAGAGAAGTAGCTCTTTGCTACATAGTACAGCACTTATTTGGATTACTTTGCTATGCAGGAATTCAAGGGTCGGTCTCCTATAATTTTGAAAAAGCAGGTTGATTATGTCCTTTGTGCATATATGTGATGAGGTAAATATTTTTTTAAATAATTGTTAAAGTATTACTTTGGCTAACAGATGTTTAAACTAACATTTGGTAAACTTACTTTATTTTATGTCTTTGTAAGCCATCAGTAGAGATACGGTTTTAGAGGCAAGTTACTTAAACTTTATTGCCTGGGGCACCTGGGTGGCTCAGTCAGTGAAGCATCTGACTTCGGCTCAGGTCATGATCTCGCGGTCTCTGGGTTCGAGCCCCGCGTCGGGCTCTGTGCGGACAGCTCACAGCCTGGAGCCTGCTTTGGATTCTGTCTCTGTCTCTCTGCCCCTCCCCTACTTGCTCTCTGTCTCTCTCTCAAATATAAAACATAAAACAAAAAAATTTTAAAAACTTTATTGCCTTAGCTTACCTAGAAATGAAGACAACTGATGCTACTATTGCAAGTAGTACTACTAATGTAAGTTGTTAGGACTCAATGAGGAAATATATGTAAATATGTATAATATATGTAAAGTGCTTAGAAAAGGACCAGGCATGATATGAGAGTTTGTTATTATTATCATCTTGGATACTTCTAAAAGTCAATGAAAATATAGAGAAAAAATAGTTAATATAAGCAAAGTTTTTGGAAACTGTAATTGCTACAATAACGTATACAAAATTATTTCTTTTTCTTGATTAGTTAATTTCAAAACACACGTTCCCTTCTCCTGCCTTAGGGGTTTTCCAAAGTACTTTTCTGAGAAGTTGAAGCATTAAAAAAAAACCCAAAGCACCCCATAAAGAGGAAACAGCGTTCTAAAATGTCTTCTCCTCACGTAACAGGCACACAGACTCCTGGCTGTTTCCTCCCATTGCGTCCATGTGACTCCACTGTGATCTTCATCTATTGTGGGAGAGTTTTAGAAAACTGTATCTGGGCTATGTGTGGGATTGGGGCTCTCAGTCCAGTCTTGGTTCTCTCCTTCCCCCATTCAAGGTTCCAAGACCTATCTCATAAAACACAGATTGCAAGAGCTAGAAAGCCCTTAAGGATCACTTTGTCAGGCTTCTTCATTGTGCATATGTAGAAATAAAGGTCCAGAGGGAGCGAGAGGTTTGTCCAAAGTTACGTAGGATGCCACCAAGAATATGATTTAGTTGTTCTGACTACCAACTAGTCTAGTGCTCTTTCCGCAACGTCTCCTTGTCTTTTTCAGATAACATATTTTCCTATTGTCATCTAAGAGCAACCAGGCATACATCTAGGACTCAGAGGAGGAATATAATTCAAAAAATATTTATGTCTAGCCCAAATATTGACCTCTTTTTAGAATGTGAGGCCCAGTGTCAAGAAATAATACATTCCATATGCCATTATTATAGCTAGAAAACTTACCTTCACGAAAAGCTCAATTTCAGGGTCTGCCATCTTTCTGTTTTTACTGCCAGTTGTCAGCCCCCTGCTTCCTGCAGAGTCCAAAGTACTTGTGGACTCTTTTCTTCCAGTTTTGTCCAAAGGCTCAGATAAAGTTGGTGCTTTAAGAGGAGAGTCCAGTTTGTAGTAGACTGAGTCAGAGCTGGGGCCAGTCTCTCTTCTGAAGAGGTGGGGTGCAGAGAATTCTAGATGCTTGAGAGCAGCTCTTGAATTTATTTTCCTTCTTCCTCTTGACTTAACATTTGAAACAAGGAGGAGCTGAAGGGGTGTGTATAAACTGGCTGGCTACAAAAGTGGGGGTGTTTCCAGAAAGGCTTCAATGCCATGAGTCAGCATAGGAAAAACACATACACACAAATACACACATGCAGTGCTGGCTTCTATATATCAAATGGACCAGATGTTCTCTAGGGCCTCCCTTTGAGTCCTGGGCTTCATGCCCAGAAAATGGACTCTTATTGCTGTTCCTGTAAACTGACAGCAGCAAAAAGCTTTTCCAGGAAAAGGGCCAGAAATGGCTTGGGTTGTATCATTGAAAAGGATGTTTATCTAATGATATCGTCTAAAAAGGGGTTAAAAAAAAGTGTACTTCATCAAATGTCTCCACCCCAAATTCTTCTCACACAGCCAGATTTCCCTTCTGGATTATCGCTTTCACTTCTCTTCTGTAACTAGGGAACATTCACTGGGTTGGTTGAGTCTGAGGCGCATCGTCCACATACCCCATCTCATTCTTA